TTATTCTTGAATTGAACTGAATACATATCCATTTAAGACTCCTCAATATATCCTTACCTATTCACCAGTGAATCTTAGAGTTTCAGGATGGAAACCCCCTTTATTCAAGAAGATCGCAGGTTTTGGTGGGGAATGGACTAAAATGAGTGAATACAACCACAGAAAGGCTTCTTACTAATACCTTTTGGTTCCATTGTGTAACGTGTGCTCTGAGAATCCCCTGGCGCCTTTCGGGAATTGTGTCTCAGGCATTTTTTTTTTTTTGAAGGCTTGTGTATATCAGTGTGGCTTCAGATGTGTATCACATGTCTTATTTCAGTCCTTTGTGAGGAAGCCCAGCTAATTAAAAGGCCTCTGCTGAGGCCCAGAGAAAGATGACTTGCAGCTTTGCATTTGTTTATTGCCTGGAAAGATAGGGCTAGGTCAATAGCATGGGCTTTGTGGAAAGACATTTTAATAACCCCCCTAGAACAATGCTTGTGGGGACTCTGCAATTTCCATGGTCTCAGGCCCCCACCTCCCTCTGCACTGAGACCCCCTGAAAAGCTGATTCTAATCTAAAATATTCTCCACCGGCCTCGACCAGCCTCCAGCTCACAGGCTCAGTAATATTTGGAAAACTGGGGTCCAGTGCTTACTTTGGATGCTGTTGGAGGCCAGTTACCCCTAGGAACTACATTGGTCTCCTTCCTTCCTTTACTCATTTTGATATTTCTGCACAGTTACTGACCATTTTTAGAAAGAGGAAAATGATGATAATAATAATAAGAAATAATGATGATGATGATGATGATGACAATAGGTCACATTTATGTGTGACCCTGGGCAAACTATTTTACTTCCTCTGGGCCTCAATTTTTTCATCTGTAAAATAGAAAGGGGAAAGGACAGTTAGACTAGATGGTCTTTCCAGCTATAAATTTATGATCCCATGGAATATTTTTGTATTTATCTCATTTGATTCTCCCAACCACTCTGTGAATGAAAATAGGGGTAGAGAGCGACTTTTGATTTCATTGGTACAGAAAACGCCCAAGTGAGGAATCTCTCTTTACCAGTGCAGGTTGGCACCCTCTCTGAGACTTCCGGTCTCTACAGCCCTGAGAAGTTAGGCAATTTGCCTAGGAGGACACAGCCTGGGTGTGTTAGATTCAGGACTCGGACCCAGGTCTCTTCAAGGCTAGAATGCAACCACCATTCCAAGGCTTCCTTTTTTTGTATCAGGCATCTTCTTAGCATTCTGGCAGTGCCAATGGACCCCTTCTCAGAGTGCTGGCTTATTGCCTACATTCATAATTCAAACAACTGTTAAGCCTCAGTTAGAGGTTAGTGAAGATAAAGATGTAATTTTTTTCTCATCCAAGTTCATGGATGCCCTGAAATCTATTGATGGACCATTGGACCCCAGGGCAAGAGCCCTTGTATCATGCCATGTTGCCTTGGTGAATAATAGCTAACATTTAATTATCATTTCAAGGTTTGCAAATTACTCTATATACATTATGCCATTTTATCCTCACAGCAACTCTGTGAGGTAGGTAGTATTATTATTCCCATTTTATAGATGAAGAAACTGAGGCTGACATAGGTTGAGTGACTTGCTCAGGGTTGTAGCAGGTAAATCTCTTCAGTGAGATTAGAACACAGGTCATTCTGATCCCAAGTCTAGCTCTTCATAAGTGCTATTCTTAGTCATATTATATAGATGAGGAAACTGAGACTCAGCGAGGTCGAAATCACTTGCGCCTGGTCATACTTGGGATTTAACCCCAGGTCTTCCTGACCACAGATCCCATGCATAGCAAGAAGACATAATTTTGCTAAGCTCAGCAGAAAAGAAAGGACCAGATATAGCCAAGGACATTTGACATTGTGTGTGCTCGGGCGGACGAGGGGGGAGGTAAGTAAAGATCTGGCTTGTAACCAAATGGGAAAAAAAAATGACTTCATTGCCATAGCTGAACGTGTTCAACCTTATAATGAAGAGCGAAATGTCTAAATGAGAGAGAAAGGGCTCTGAGAAGCTGCTGAGAAATCCTTTGGCCATGAGGAGAAACCGGGGTGGTTTGTGATGAAATGCTCTCTAATCCCCATTTCCAAAATGAGAAGAAATGCTATCCTAGGGCCACAGCAGAGGGAGGAAAATCTTGTCCATTTTCCAGAGTAATAGTCAGCTTAACCCAGTTCAGCAGAAATCTTTGAGCATTTGCTCTTTGTAAGTCTGTTTCAATCTGATGTGGAAGTGTATAAAATAAAATGTAATGAAAGTTTATAATAACCAGAACCTAGGAAGAAGGGTTGAGCTACATGCTGATGATCTATTCAAAATACTTTGAATTTTTGTAGCACTTTCAAATCAATTTAATAGATAAATACTAAACATCGGTTTATCTGTGTGACCTTGGACAGGTCACTTACCATCCTGGGCCTTGGTTTCCTCATTCGTACAATAAAGGAGATAAACTAGATTGCCTCTGAGGTCTTTTTCAGTCCCAAATGTATGTATGATCTTATTATCTGGACCAGGGCAGCTTGGTGGCACCATAGTGCACAGAGCACTGGGCTTTGGAATCAGAAAGACTCATCTTCATGAGTTCAAAGCCTTAGATAGTTATTGGCTATGTATGACCCTGGGCAAGCAACTTCAGCCTGTTTTCCTCAGTTTCCTCATCTGTAAAAATGAGCCAGAGAAGGAAATGGCAAACCACTGCAGTGTCTCTTCCAAGAAAACCCTAAATGGGGTCACAAAGAGTCAGACACAACTGAACAATAACAACATTATCTGGGCTAGGCGCTTGGGTTACAAAGGTGAAAAACAAAAAATAATTGTGTGTGTGTGTGTGTGTGTGTATACACAAACATACATAATAAAAACAAAGCAATTCGTTTTGTGGGAGGGTGGTAGACACTAGCATGGCCCTGAGAGGAAATTCATTTGAACTGAGCCTTGAAGGGAATTTGTGGTTCCAAGGAGCAGAGGTAAGAAGGGCGAGCATCCTGTCTGAGTCAGCTTGGGCAAAGACACACTTTATACTTTGCAAAACACAAGGGATCCTAGGGCTGGAACTGGGAGGGACCTTACAGACCTTGAAGTCTAACCTCCTCATTTTACAGAAGAGGAAACTGAGGCCAGACTTGCCCAGGGTTACACAGGTAGTCATTAGAAAGCCCAGGACTGGAACCCAGCTCCCTGATATCAGATCCAAAACAATTTCCACCGGACCTTGTTGCCTTCCCATTCCAGGCCTACAACAACATGGTAAGTAAGTAGAATGGATATTATCATTTGACAGATGAGGGTGTCAGCTTTGAATTTAGTTTAATTTATCTGAGCCTCAGTTTACTTACATGTAAAATGAGTAGGTTGGACTAGGTAGTCTCTGAGGTAGATTTATGGATCTATGCCACTCCAGTGGACAGGGAGTTGTTAACCTTTTCGTGTCATAGGCCTCTTTTATAATCTTTGGCCATTTTTACAGTTGTGTCCAACTCTTGGTGACTCCAACTGGGGTTTTCTTGGCAAAGATTCAGGAGTATGCCGTTTCCTTCTCCAGCTCATTTTTATAGATGAAGAAACTGAGGCAAACAGGATTAAGTGACTTGCCCAGGGTCACACAGCTAATAAGTGTTTGAGGCTGGATTTGAACTCAGGAAGATGAGTCTTCTTGACTCCAGGCCCAGAACTCTATCCACTAGGCCTTCTAGTGAAGCTTACAGACACCTCTTCAGAATCATATTTTTAATGCATAAAATAAAATATCCAGGTTTACAAAAGAAATAACTATGTTGAAATATAGTTATCAAAATATTAAAAGAGCAAGTCCATGGTCCCCTGGCAAAAATTCCCCAAATAGACCAGTCAGTGAAAATAATTATCAGGGGTTTTTTTTTTGATGGCACCCAAATCCCAGATGACTTATTTTCTCATTCACAGAGAGCACAATTTAACTGGGACCCAGAGACAGTCGGACTCATCCACGGATCTTTTTTCTGGGGCTATATTATGACCCAGATTCCAGGAGGCTTCATCTCAAATAAATTTGCTGCAAACAGGTAAGAATCACTGGAACAACACACTCGTCAGTTTTAAATTTAGCTTTAAATTTTGCAAATCATTTTAAAAATTCTTTTTTATGGTATTTTCTTTTTTCCAATTATATGTAAAGATCATTTTTAACATTCATTTTAAAAAAATTTGAGTTCCAAATTTTTCCCCCCTCCTCTTTGTCCTCCCTATAAAGGTAAGAATTTTAAATAGGTTATATAATACAAATACTTTCTCATCTTTGTTCTTATACCAACTCGGGGAGGTAGGGGGCTATTATTATCCCCATTTTACAGATGAGGAAACTGAGGCAGGCAGCAGTAGAGTGACTTGCCTAGGGTCATGCAGCTAGATGTCTGAAGCTGGATTTGGACTCAGGTCTTCCTGATTCCAGGCATAGCGATCTATCCAGTGTACCACCTAGCTGGACTACATGTGAACCTGTGAATTTCTTTTATGTGGAATTTCTTTTAAAACTTAAATTACATTTAATGCAGTAGTAATAAAATTGTTCTGTTTGTTTGTGGCTCCATCTGAACTTCTGTTTGTGCCCCTTTTCCTGGATATTCCTCTGACTCAGGCTTTCTTCTGGGATCTCTAAATGTCAGTTTCTAGGAGATACCATAGGTAGCTTTTACTTGAGACCGGGAGTTCTGAAACTTTTATGTGTCATGGCCCCTTTGGACAGTTTTATGAAACCCAAGTGTGGTTTCCCAGAATAATGTTTTTAAACATTAGGATTTTTTTCCTTTGCAACTAGGATTGCAAAGGAAACCAAAGGTTAGTGAAAATAAAGATAGAATTTTTTTCCCCATAAAGTTCACAGACTCCCTGAAATCAATCCGGAGACTACTTTGGGGTCCATGGGCTCCATCCAGGCTAAGACTTTCTACTTTAGAAGAACTATACAAGGCATCAGTTCTGTCCTTACTAATTCTAAAGAAAGCTACAGAATTCCTTTCTGCCAAGTGGCTGAGCAAAGACAAGAAGATCTGAGTGAAAGAAGTCATTCTTCCTAACAATTAGAGCTAATCAAAAGTAGATTGGGTTACTTGAGAGGTAGTGAGTTCCCCATCACTGGATGAATTCAAATGAAAGTTGGATGACTATTTGTTGGAAATGGAGAGGCAATTCAGGCACAGACTGTGTTCTGAGGTTCCTTCTGAGATTCTGCGATTCTGTAATTGGATTTAGGAGCTGAAAGAGAGAGAAAATCAAAACACCAGGGTTTCGTTTTGGTGCTAGCTAGTCAAAAGGTAAACATCTATCTGGAGTGCCAGTCAAAGGACTGAAAAATCAATCGATCAACAAGCATTTATTAAGTACCTTATCAAGTGCCTGGCACTCTCCTAGGCACTAAGGCTATAAATGACAAAGAACGAAATGATCCCTGCCCTCAAGGAGCTTACATTCCTTTCAGGAAAACACACATAATTCTCAATTTCAATAGCCTTTCCAACACAGATACTGTTATTCTAACTTAAGAAGTGAGATAAAATCTTCAGAGTATCATTCTATGAAGAATGAGTCTGGAGACAGAGATTGTTAAGAACTATGGTTTTAGAGAAATTAAATAACAGAGAAAGAGGTAGAACTTTTCTGGAGACAACCAATTTAACTCTTATCTTGCAAAAATAAAATGAAGAGAATTTAGAGTAAGAGTCAGCTCTAATCCTAAGTTCTTGAGAAGAGACTTTATTTGATGTTCTGAGTGAAATGAATGTTGGGACTGTGTTTCCAGAAGTCACTTGCAGTTAATAGCACCGATAGGTAAGATTTATGTTACACTTTACAGTTTGCAAAGCATTTGTGATCTTATTTGCTCTTCTCAACAACCCTGTGAGGTAATGTTTTCCCCTTTTACAGATGAGGAAACTAACAGGTTAATTGACTTGTACAGTGTCACAGAGTCTGAGATGGGGTTGGAACTCAGGTCTATCTCACCGAACATTCAGCTCTTTATCTACTATTTTACCTGGCTGTGCACAGCAATGGATTTAGGTGCTACTATATGTGATTTTTTTTCCTCATAGCTAAAGCATTGTGAATAAATAGCCATGTCTTTCTGTTATTACTTGCTATATTACAATGAACATAAATTGTATAATCAGTAACTGAGGAGACTGGGGATATGTGTGTAAATATGATTTTGTATTTATAAAATTTATATTTGTATAATTTCATTAATGTATAGAAAGATAAGTAATAATCTGGGGCAAAAGAGATCTCTCCAGTATATTCCAAATTAATTACTTAGTCAATTAGCTTAAGGCCCTCACATTAGCAAGCTCTGGTTCTAGAGAAGCATTTGATTAAGTTTCTCTTTAGAAAATACCTTGTAAATCAAATTCCCAAAAAAACATAAATAATAACAATTCAAGCAAAAATATGGTCATTTTCTTTAAGATGCATATTTTTATTCCTTTTAAAATGTCAGTCTCAGTTATGCATACAGTAGGTGTTCAACAAATTATTTTATATTAATCTGAATCTCAGGAATACTAAAGAAGCTGGGCATACCCACTTCATACTGTGAGGAAAAATCTAGATTTGTAGTCAAGAGGATCTGAGTTAAAATTTCAGCTTTACTTATTGCCACCGGTGTGACTTAATTTTGCTGGAAGCATCCCTCTTGGATGGTTCACTCAGTTGCTGTGCTGGACAAGCAGGGTGCTTGGCTTCTGGGCTAGGCTAGGTGGCTTCCTGTAGTTCACAGAGGGTCTGAGTCCTTACTGAGTCCATAGCCAGCACTTTTTACACTCCAGCTGCTGCCTCACAAGTGTTGCAGGATATTTGGACCTTTGGAAACCTACAAAGTGACCCAGGCCTTCCATCTCAGGATACCAGCTCAACAAAAATAAATAAAATGAGCAAACCTAAAAGGCAGCCATGTGCTCATGGACACATGACAGTCAAGGGAGAGAATCAGTTCAGCCACCCTCCCTCTGCTCAGTTCTCATGAGTCCTAACTCAAAAGTCAAAAGGAAGAGACAGAAAGCAAAGGGTAGGGGGTGGGCAATGATATCCCTTTTGTAAGTCTACTGAGTTGTGGCTCAGAATTCAGTTAGGGAACTTTTTGTGATTTTTCATTTGTAAGCTCTTGAGTCATGAATGGCTCTCCCCAGCTTTCCACACAGAGAACTGGAACCAGGAAGAGGAATATCTATCTGTACATACACTCTATAATTCACCAGGAAGGGCAAATCTGAGCATGTCTGCCACTGTTACCTTAAGTAACCATACTTAAGACACAACTCTTGTTACTGAGGGGAACAGGTAAAGACCTTCTGTAGAAACTGATTTTTTTTTTAGAAAGTTAGGAATTCCAAGAGGTGGAGGTATCGAGGGAATGCATACTAGGAATGGGGGAAGAGTCAATGCAAAGGCATGGAGGTGGGAAATAGAATAACCTATGTGTGAGGAACAAGGAGTCCAGTAGAGTGTGTAAAGAGGAGAGATGTGTAAGAAGACTGGAAAGTCAGAGAAGTTTTAAATGTAAAATGGAGGCATTTATATTTGATCCTGGAAGTAATGAGAAGCTATTAGAATGAAGAGAGAGATGGAGACAGAGATAGATAGATAGATAGATAGATAGAGAGAGAGAGAGAGACAGACAGACAGACAGACAGACAGACAGACAGACATGGTCTGACCTGGGCTTTGGGAAAATCATTTCCTTTGGGAGTTGAGGGGAGGATGAATTGGAGAGGGGAGAGACTGGAGGCAGAGAGGTCAATTAGGAGGCCATTGCAATAGTCCAGGCAAGAGATGATGAGGATCTGAATCAAGATATGTGAATGAAGGGGAGAGATGTTGGAGAGACAGAAATGATAAGATTTGGCAACTGTCTGAGTATGTGGGCAATATATTTTTACAAAATATGTTCAAAATAAATACAAGATAATTTTTGAGAGGGGCAGGTAGTGAGAAGCACTAGCAGCTTTCCTTCATCTGCTACATGCTAGCTGAGTGACCCTGGGCAAGTCACTTAATCTTGTTTGCCTCAGTTTCCTCATCTGTAAAATGAGCTGAAGAAGGCAATGGCAAAGCACTCGTGTATTTTTGCCAAGAAGACCCCAAATAGGGTCACAAAGGGTCAGACATGACTGAAAAATGACTGAACGACAACATACATTTATAGATGAATTGCTAATCTGCATTGGTGAATGGAGTTTTCATACCAGAAATCCCCAACATTGAGGAAATCATGGTTCTGGACTGTACCTCCCCCCTGCCCCCCAAAGCATCAGAATCCATATTCCATTGGGTTAATTCCTTATATAATACAGATGTTTGTTCTTTCTTCCAGGATTGATTTTTTAAAATAACCATGAACTACAAGTGTCTCTTTATTCCTTTCTCTTTGTAGGGTATTTGGAGCTGCTGTTTTCTTAACATCCACCCTGAATATGTTCATCCCTTCCGCAGCCCGAGTGCATTATGGCTGTGTCATGCTGGTCAGGATTCTACAGGGTCTGGTGGAGGTAGGAGACCAATTGTCCAATATGTTTATATTTTATTTTTATATTATATTTTGCTTTTGATGACGGAGTTCTTTTAAAATGCCATCTTTGTTGGTTCAACTTTAAGATGGCAACTCCATGCCCACTGTTCTGGTTTGCTTTTTGCTTCACTTTTGTTTTTGTATCCCTAGCACCTAGTGCAGTGCCTTGCACATAGTAGCATTTAATAAATGCTTTTTGATTGACTATTTTACTGCTTTTTTCAATTTCCGGTTATTAGAAAAGTGAATATTATCTCCAAAATATTCCCATGTCGTTCCAAGATACATAACGAATGACTGTTTCACACAGTATCACAAATTTAGAGCTGGAAGGGACCTCAAAGGCCATCTAGCCCAACCTTCTTGTTTTTACAAATGAGGAAACTGAGGCCTCAGGAGTGACTTGGCCATATTCTCCCAGGTAGAGACAATATTTGAACTCAGGTCCTCTAACTCCAAGGGGCAGCTAGGTGGCACCATAGTGCATAGAACACTGGGCTGGAGTGAGGAAGACTCCCTGAGTTCAAATCTAGCCTCAGACACTTATTAGCTGTATGACCCTGGGCAAGTCACTTAACCCTGTTTGCCTCAGCTTCTTCATATGTAAAATGAGCTGGAGAAGGAAATGGCAAACCACTCCAGTATGCCTGCCAAGAAAATCCTAAAGGGGTCACAAAGAATGACTGAAAAGCAACTGAACAACATCTCTGACTCCAAATCCAACATTCTTTCTACTGGCCATAGAGAGAATCATAAAGTACTTAGAACTCGAAGGCATTGAGGTGCCATCTGGTCTTCTCTTTGCTCTCTTCTCTGCCCTCCCCCTATAATGTAATGCCTTTTCCAACAAATAGAGTGCATCTGTCCTCTCTGGGCATTTCCAGCGGTGGGAAGCTCACCATAGCTGGAGGCTACCCATTTAAATCCTGGACTGCTTTAATTGTTAGTAAGCCCTTCCTTTTTTGGTCAGGACCTGTGATTTTATTGGTGGGGAGAGTTCTCAGTGAGAAAATTACTTCCACCAATGAGGAAACTCCCTTTACTAATACTAATACTCAGCAATTTTTTACAACTTAGGACCATAGGTACAAAATTAACTGGCATGTCAGAGCCCAGCTATTTCAGCATACTCTATTTATTTTTAGTTTTCCACATTCACTTCCACAAGATTTTGAGTTCCAAATTTTCTCCCCATCTCGCCCCTCCCCCCACCCAAGACATCATGCATTCTGATTACACTTTCCCCTAATCTGCCTTCCTTTCTATCATGCCCCCTTCTCTTATCCCCTCAACACACTTTTTACAGATAAGGAACGTGAGGCCCACAGTGGTTACATAGGTTGCATTCAAGTTACTCAGATGATAATTATCAGAGGTGGGAAGTAATGGTCTTTGAAGTTAATTGACTTGCCCAGGGTCACACAGCTAGGATGAGTCAGAAATAAGCCTTGAGCCCTCTTCTTACTGACTCAGGCTACTTCTTTATCCACTTTGTAAAGCTGCCTTCTCCATTTTCTTCCTTGTATTAAGGCAGACCTGCCTTCCCATAACTCAGGAGCCAGGTAGCATAGAGTATAGAGTGCTGGAATTGGCCTTGGTAAGACTTGAATTCCAATCTTGCCTCTCACACATGTGGCCATGTGACCCATTTGTTGTTCTGTTCTTTCAATCACGTTTGACTCTTCATGACCCTATTTGGGGTTTTCTTGGCAAAGATACTGGAGTGGTCTGCCATGTCCTTCTCCAGCTCATTTTACAGATGAGGAAACTGAGGCCAACAGGGTTAAGTGACTTGCCCAGGGTCTTACACCTAGTAAGTATCTGGCCTGATTTGTGAGGTCCTCCTGACTCCAGGCCTGGTGCTCTAGCCACTGTGCCTGCCAGCTGCCCTAGAATAAATCCAGTATGCGATAACTATCATGTCCTCCCTTAAATCTCTTCTACTCTAGACCAAGGATCCCCAAATCCTTTGAGGAATCCTTGTAAAATACAGTTCAGAATCTCCTCCCCACCTTAGCTGCTCTCTTTTCTAGCTTATTCACGTCCTTCCTAAAATGGGGTGCTCAAAACTGAACACATTCCTCCCTGTGGTCTGCTAGTGCAATGTGCCGTGGGATGAATTCTTCTGCAAAGTACTGACTGCCACATCTGGAAGGAATCAGTTACTCATTTATGTCATTTAGCCCAACCTGTGCGTCCAACCAACGGAGCCAAGAGAAATGAAGTGAATTGGTCCCTCTTCTAACTGGTAGCAGACTGAGAACCTCTACCCAGGTCTTTTGATTCCAGATCCTGTGTGGTTTCTACCCTTTGGCTGAGTTGCAGGAATAGACTTTGTGATTTCATTAACTTCCGGTGAGGAAGGCCCCTCCCTCAGTGCTCACGAGCATTTGCTCTGCAATGTAATGTCTTAGGAGATTTGTCTGGGGCACTGAGAGGCTAAGAGACTCAGCCAGGGTCACACAGTCAGCATCTGTGGGAGGGAGAACTTCCTGACATGGAGACCAGCTCTCTCTCCACCATGCTACATGGACATTCCAGTCTATCATTCACAGAATGCTCAAAACATTTGATTTTGGAGTAAATTTGGGAATTTCAAAGGGCAAGCTTTGCTTGAGGAGGGAGATTACATAGTGTAGCAAAGAGATTATGGCCCTGGGCAAGTCACTTAACCCCAATCGTTTGGGGGCGGGGTGGGGGGGAAGGAAAAGGGGGAGGGGGAGAGAATGGACTGGAAATCATAGAACTTGGGTTCTAAACTTACTGGACAATTTGGAGTAAATTATTCCCCCGCTTTGGGTTTCAGCTTCTTCATCGACAAAATGAGGATGTTGGATGGGCTGATAAATTAATTTTCCTTGGTCTCAGTTTCTGTATGGGCAAGGTGCGGGGTGGTGGCGGTGGACGAAAGGACCTCCAAAGTCCCTCCTGGTTCTAAATCTATGGTCTTGTGACTCTTTCTGTTCTTATATTCTGGGATTTGATGGATCTTAAAGAAACTCCTGGTCTTATTACAGTATTACTCAAACTAAAGCTTCTGATAATAATTTAATGGAATTGCTGAGTATGTGATATAGTCTGCACCAAAAAATAATGACTCATGTCAGATAAGGGGGAGCCCCATTATGAAATAAATGAAATGGAACCACACCAAATAATGTATTTTTGATACATTTGCCAGGGTGTTACCTACCCAGCATGCCATGGGATGTGGAGTAAGTGGGCACCCCCACTGGAGAGAAGCCGACTGGCAACTACCTCTTTCTGTGGTAAGTGCTTCGGAATGATGAGATCTTAAAAATTATCTATTGGTGTCATTTTGTTTTTCCGTTGCCTTCATTTTCAAATGTATTCTTTTCCCTTGTCTGGCTAATGAGCCATCCTTTCTAGCAAATAATTTTTAAAAATAGAGAAAAAAAGACAGTTTGGGGAAACCATCCAATACATCAATTGAGTCTGACAGTGTAGTATTCCACACCCACAGTCCCCCACCTCCAGAAAGAGAGAAGGGGAACATTTTCTCAGTTCTTTGCCATAACCAAGATGCTTGGTCATTGTAAGTAAACAGTGTTGGCTTTCATTTTTCAATTCTTTCTGTCTATGTTGTTACAGTCATTGGGTATGCTGGTTTTTTTTTTTTTATTCTGTTTGCTTCACCCTGCATTGGTTCATACAAGTTTCCTCTTGCTTCTCAAAGGATTATAGACTCTGATAGAGTTAAGAAACGACCTTGGAGATTAATGAGTTCAGTCCCTTCATTTTACAGAGGAAGAAACCAAGGCCCTAAGAGAGTATTTGTTGGGGCAGCTGCGTGGTGCAGTGGATAGAACTCTAGCTTTGGAGTCAGGAGGACTTGAGTTCAAATCCAGCCACAGACACTTAACACATACTAGCTGTGTGACCCTGGGCAAGTCACTTAACCAATTGCCTCATATTAAAAAAAAAAAGAGAGAGAGTATTTGTTGCTGTTGTCCAGTCATTTCAGTTGTACCCACCTCTTGATGACCCCATTGGGAGTTTTCTTGGCAAAGATCCTAGAGTGGTTTGCGATTTCCTTCTTGAGGTCATTTTACAGATGAGGAAACTGAGGCAAATAGGGTTAAGTGATTTGCCTAGGGTCACGTAGATGGTAAGTGTCCAAGGTCAGAACTGAGCTCAAGTCAAGGCTCATCACTCTATTGTACCACGTAGCTGCCAAGAGAGTAAATAATTGTCGAAGGAACTCAGCTGTGGTACGATGGAAAAAACTCTGGCTTTGGAATCACAGTGCCTTGATTCAAATCTCCTCTTTGCCACTTACTACTTGGATAATCATGGGTGACATTTCCTTTTTAGGCCCTCAGTTTACTCATCTGTAAAATGACATGGTTGGATGTCATAACCTCTAAGATGAGGGTTAGTAGCAAGGCCAGAACTCGAATCCCTTTATCCAGTGTTCTTTGCACATCACCTTTATATTTCTGCCATATTCACATTATTTTTCAAGGTACTTTAATACATTTTTAATAAAGTTAATAATAAATTTTCAATTAATTAATTTAGATTAATGATTAATCATTAATTTTAAAATAAATTTTCCATTGATTTACTTAGCATGAATAAGGAACAAGGAAAATCTTGGCTACTAGGAATTGGCAGACCCTGGAATTTTAATCTGTAATCCTCCACCCACATAGGAGGGAGGCCCCTCCCTCCTAACCTAACTTCCCTCCAGGAAGTGGCTTCACCATTCACTTTAGCGTTCCTGTTGCTCCTAAAAGGACTACTTGGGTGGTATCTCTAATCATTCCAGTGAGAGAAAGAGAGAATGTTTCATGTTTTCTTCCTTACTGTTTCTCATGTTTAAAGGTACAGGTTGAACTGGGGAATGTTTTGAAACATTCATCAAAATGTAAATGGCACCTCTCATGACTCATTCCAGAGAGAACAGTTTTTTTTTTTTAATACTTTCCAATAGCTTTTTCCATTCTTGCCTTTGGGCAGGGATTTTGTCCTTGTGAATTTTTAAATCTTTTTAAAAATTTGTCCCTTTCTGGTTCCCCCTCCATGGAAATAATGTGGTATAGTTCCTAGAGATCTGGTTTTAAGGGTCAGCTATACCTGATTGTGTCCTGTATTGGCTGTGTGCTTCTGGGAAAGTCACTACATTTTTCTGTGTCCCAAGCAGACTAGACTATGTTGTAGAAAAAAGGGGCCAATCTATTGTGGTAGAAGAATTTCCTGACCTATGAGTTCCCCATACCAGTGATCTCACAGGTCCAGGCCCTGTCCTTCTTTCTAGTTAGCTCATTTCTGGGTCTTTTTTCTAGAGAGGCAATGTAATATGGCATCGTACCACAGTGGATAGCTGAAGTTGGAGCCAGGATGACCTGGGTTCATGTTCCACTTCTGATATAAGCTAGCTGGCTGACTCTGAGAAATTAACTTAACCTCTCTGTGCCCCAGGCCCCTCTCTAAGACTGTATAAATAGCAGAAAAGGTACCAGTCTGCATTGAGAGAGAGCATTTTCTCATCTGGACGTTCCCTATGCCAATAAAACCATAGACCCAGTTTTTACCCTTTCTACTTAGAATGATCTAGGCCTGTTAGAGACCCAGGGCCAACTCTAAGTGGGAAAATACCAATGGACCCCACCTGCCCTTCAGCACACGTAGAGCCTGGAGGGGTAGACCTTCTTTCTTATGCACTATGTTGTCTAAATGGGAGTAACCAGCAGCCACTCCCACTTCCTGGCTACATTCCCCAATGGGCCTAGGGATGATTGGGCTCCACTAGAAAACTATGAAACAAAGGTCAAGTGCCTTAGATTTTCCAGCTAAGGTGTGGCCTTATCTTAAAGAATTCTCAGAGCTGGAAGGGTTCCCAAAGTCATCTCACCCAATCCATATCTGACCAAGGACCCACTTTACAATAGCCCCAATGAATATGTAGACATCTCTGTTGGAAGAGCTCCAGGATGGGGAACTCACCAACTCCTGAGGCAACCTATTTTATTTTGGAACAACTCTCCAGGTTAGGAAAGTTTTGTTTGCATGTTTCGATCAGATCTACGAATTTATCCATATAGGGAACTCCCAGTGAAGAGAACAGCCATCCATGGGTGCTGAACAGCAACTCCATTCCAACTTCTAATAATCTTCTTTGTAACTGGGCCTCACTTTCCCACGTGTAAAATGAGGGGCCTCTAAATCCCTTCTAGCTCAAAATCTATAATCCATAATTAATTAATTGTTATTAATCTGTGATTCTAATTGCTCCTTTATTCATCTTTAGCTTTTCCCTCTTTACAAGTTTCTTTTTCTCTTCCTATAGATATGTACTAATCTCTGCTATTCAAAAAATTCTTTACTTTGCCAGTCTATATTGTCAAGCTATGCTTCTGAAGTTATCCTTCATTTCCTTGCTAAGCTTCTATTTTCTAACAAAGGTGTTTATTTTTAAAAGCATTTATTATTTTTCCCTCCCATGGTACCCTCAACTGAACAATAAGATGGAAAATAAATTCCTCATAACAAATTGGGGCGTCTAGGTGGCATGATGGATAGAGCACCAAGCCTGGAGTCAGGAATACATGAGTTCAAATCCAGCCTCAGACACTTCCTATCTGTGTGACCCTGGGTGAGTCAGTTAACCTTCTTTGCCTCAGTTTCCTCATCTGTTAAAATGAGCTGGAGAAGGAAATGGCAAACCACTCCAGTATCTTTGCCAAGAAAACCCCAAATGGGGTCACAAAGAGTCAGAAACAACTGAAACAGCTGAGTAACAACCACAGCCTAACAAAAATGCTTAGTCCAACAAAACTGATTCCCACATTGGTCATATTCAAAAAATAGATGTCTCGTTCTGTATTTAAGTCCATTTCCTCTTTGGCAGGAGGTGGGTAATGTGTTTCATCTTTAGTTCTCTGGACTCACGGTTTATCACTGCGCCGGTCAGAGTGAGCTAGTCTTTTCAAAGCTGCCTTCTTCTATGGTGTGGTTGGCATTGGATAAATTGTTCTCCTGGTTCTTCTCACTTTGCTCTGCGTCAGTTCATTTCTAGTTCTTTCTAGTTTTCTCTGAAACTGTCCATTTCATCCTTTCTAATGGCCACTAATATTCCACTTCATTCATATACCACAATTTGTTTAACCATTTCCCAATAGGAGTTTCTAGTTTTTAACTACTGTGAAAAGAGCTATTATAAATATTTTGTACATATAGGTCTCTTTCCCCTCTCTTTAATATCTTTGGAGTATAGCCCTAGTAGTGGTATCACTAGTTCAAATAGTATGTGCAGTTTGGTAACTTTGAGGTCATAAAGCTCCTTGAATTCCTGGTATGTCCTAAGCCTGTGGCCCTTGACATCAGTGCCATCACCTTGTGGCAGATATTCTGTGTCACGTGGCTCCTAGTTATTTCTGGCAGAAGATTGGACCCCATTTAGAAGGACAAGCTTCAAGTGGGTTCATATCCCAATAACATCTGCGGGTCTATTTATCGGAGACCTTTGGCGTGAAGTCTAGCCTGGGATTGTGGGGTTTGAAATTGGGATAGAGGTAGGACTTGGAGATACAGATCTGAGATGAATTGAAATAGCAGGTTGGAGTTATGGGGGTGGGGGGAAGAAGTAAGTAGAAGAGTGGTCTGTGTCTTGTTACTGTTCATTCTTCTACAGACAGCCACTTCTTATCCATGGTCAAGGGTAAGTCTCAGATTAGAGTTTTTCAATTGAGTTAATATTTATTGGAAGTTCACAGGATACCTGTCACTAGACTAGGAATTATGGTATTAGAGAGTACCAAAAACCAATCCATGCCCTGTAGGACTCACAATCTTGTCTAGACGAGATAAACAGCCAGAATAGATAAGTATTTACCAGGTGAAGCAGGTGGAAAGAATGCTAAAGTTGGAGGGATGAACTTGATGAAGTAGATTAGGGCCTTGGACTGAGAGTCAGAAAGGCCTGGGTTCAAGACTCACCTCAGATATTTCCTGGCTGTGTGATGACCCTGGGAAAGTAACTTAACCTCTCAGTGCCTCAGTTTCCTCTTCTGTAAAATGAAAGGATTAGGCTCACTGGCCCTCACTATGGTCCCTTACAGCTCCAAATCTATGGGTCTATAAATCCTGGTTCTGCCACTTAATAGCTGTGTGACCCCCCCTGCAAGTCCCTTAACTGCTGTATGCCTCAATTTTCTCATCTATAAAATGAAAAAGTAGGACTTGAAGGATTTCAAAGTGCCTTCCAACTGTATGATCCTATCAACATTAATAACATTCAAAATTTGAGGCAGCTAGGTGGTACAATAGATAGAGTACCAGCCCTGGAATTAGGAGGGCCTGAATTCAAATCTGGCCTCAGACACTTATTAGTTGTGTGACCCTGGGCAAGTCTCATAACTCCAATTGCCTCCTCCCCAAAAAAGTAATTTCTAAAACGTATACAGTACTTTAATATTTGCAATGTGTTTTACCAATATTATCTCATTTGGTCTTTACCATAACAGTAGGAAGAGAGTACATTATTATCCTCGTTTTATAAATGAAGAAATGGGTATAGGTACATAGATCTACAGATAAGTATAGATGCTATGAATAGTATCTAGTATTTTGTTGTTGTTCAGTCGTTTTTCAGTTGTGTCTGACTTTTCATGACCACATTTGGGTTTTTCTTGGCAAAGATACTGGAGTGGTCTGCCATGTCCTTCTCCAGCTCATTTTACAGATGAGGAAACTGAGGCAAACAGGATTAAGTGACTTGCCCAGGGTTGCACAGCTAGTAAATGTCTGAGGCCAGATTTGAACTCAAGAAGATGAATCTTCTTGACTCTAGGCCTGGCACTGCACCACCTAGCTGCCCTTATCTAGTATAGTTGACTAAAATAACTTGCCCAAGATCACATAATGTGTTGGAGGCAGGATTCAAACTCAGGTCTTCTTGACTCCTAGTTAAATGCACTAGGCACTATACTGCCCTGCTTCTCATGAATACTGGTTGCCACAAGGCAAGGGGGTTAATGCAGAAGACACCATGGATGTGGGGTACCATGGGTGCAAGATGGTGAAGTAGGTCGGAGAAGGGAGAGATGGAGAGGCCTTGCTGGGGCTTTAGGAGTGGGATTGCCACTCAGAGATTGGAGAAGGAACCCTGGACATCCATAGCCCTACCCCTCTGAGAGCCAGTGAGGGGCTCCACTCACATGCCATGGTAGCCCCTGGTGGCACATGTCCTAGCTTCCTAATCCTGGTTCTGGACTTTTCTCTCCCCTATCCTCAGTTAGGAATAGGGCTGGTGTGTCAATGACCAATCAGAGTCTTCTCATGGAACCCTTATTTGCACATACCAAGGTTCTGCTGCATACACTTTGGAAATGAGGTTCAAGGTTTATGGAATGGCAAAGGTCATGATATGAAGATGGATCTCAGAAAGGCTGGGAGATAAAGGGGTTACTGTATAACTATGGTCTATGAGCCTTAAGTGTGAAGCTAGCAAAATATTTTATGTGTAAACATTTGTGTGTATATTTTATTGTTCTGTTGCTTAGATGTACTTGACTCTTCGTGACCCCATTTGGGGTTTTCTTGGCAAAGATACTGGAGTGGTTTGGCATTTCCTTTTCCAGCTTACTATACAGATGAGGAAACTGAAGTCATGCAGCAGTTAAGGGACTTGCTTGAGATTACATAGCTACTGCATAAGTGTCTGAGGCTCCAGGCCCAAAGCTCTAGCCACTGTGCAACCTAGCCACTCGTGTGTGTATATATACATATCTAAATATATTTAATTTAACATGGTAGTAACAAAACTCTGTGCCCCCTTCTAAGATCTCTTGTCTTCTGTGTATTTTTTTTAAATGTCTCTTTGAAATTTGAATCTCTAGTCACTCACTGCTGTGTGACCTTAGGCAGGTGACGTAATCTCTCTGAAATTCAAGCTCCTCATCAGCAAATTAGAGGCACAGATACTTCTACTACCCAGCTGATAGGGTGACCAGGAGAAAATGTAAGCCCCCTGGGTAGGGATCGTGATGTCTTTTTCTTTGAATCTTCAGTACCTTGTATGGTGCCTAATCCATCTCAGACTTTTAACAAATGCTTGTCTATTGATTAATACAATTTTTTATGTGTTGATTAAGTTTAACAATGTGATCTTTTGCTCATATCTCCTTCTGAACTTCCTTTTACTCTCTTCTGTGTATTTTGAATGTTCATTTGACATTTTTATTTCTTTTCTTCCTTCCAAACACTTTTCCCCCCATCATGTCAATGGTATTTGAGAGGCAGTACTGGCCTTCCGTCTCTGGAATCCTTCTTTAATGGTGTCATTGGAGATGGCCTGGCATGTTCTCCAATGCTCCAGCACTGTTGCTCAGAATTCAACATGGCCTTGTGTTTATCTGACCTGCCTCTGCTTAGCTAGAAGGTGCCTAAAATTGTAAATGGTCAATGAGCCCCATTGTTCTCTCGTCCCTAGGTTCATATGCTGGGGCAGTGGTAGCAATGCCATTGGCTGGAGTATTAGTGCAGTACATTGGATGGTCCTCTGTCTTTTATATTTATGGTGAGTTATCTTATTTCACAAGTTTACCCTGCTGACTCAAAGAGATAACTTTTTACTGTACTTGGAATTTGTCTAAGATTGTACTCTTGGGAAAGAGGAAAAGCTAAGAAGAAATCAGTATAGAAATGGAATAAAGAAATTGTACAGAAAGACAATTCAAAGTCTTGTATTTTATGTATCAAAACGGGCATTTTGAAATGGATACAGAAGCATTTTTATTTAACCATCAAATCACTAGAAATGAACATGGCATTTCCGTGAGGAATCTAGTCATGTGTAAGGGTCCTATGATCTTTGCCTATCAGAGAACAGGCAAGGGCTCAGCAGGTATGGTCAAAAGAAGCAATTGTTATTGACCTGATTATGGGGTCATGACTGTCCAACGTTTCTGGGCTTTCTGTGTCTAAACTTCCAGCAGTTTGCGTTATAATCTGATGCATGAGACACTTCCTAGGGACATGTGCACGCACACACATACACATATACACACATACCATAAGAAAACATTAATGGAAATGCCCAAGGAAAGACACAATGATAACCAGTGTCTCTAGAGCTAGACTCATCTGCTGCAAAGAAGTTTCACCTGGTTCTCTTACTCTTCTTACTACTACGCCTGGAGTCAGGAAGACTCATCTTTGTGAGTTCAAATCTGGCCTCAGACACTTATTAGCTGCGTGACCCTGGGCAAGTCACTTCACCCTATTTGCCTCAGTTTCCTCATCTGTAAAATGAGCTGGAGAAGGAAATGGCAAATCACTCCAGGATCTCTGCCAAGAAAACCCCAAATGGGACCAAAATAGTCAGACACGACTGAGCAATAACATAAGGGCCAATTTTGGAGCAAATAGACCAGCAGCCTCGGAAATCTCTGCTTTCATAAGCTGCCTGCAGAGTGAGAGGGAGAGGGGCTGGTACCCTTTATGGAGTTAGTGGCAGCAGCTTCTACTTTCCTGTCCCACAAATCAGCTGTCTTGGCTCCTTGATATTGACACATTGTACAAAATTGTTTGGGACTATCGAAAGGTGTTTTCAAATTTTAATATTTAAAAGAGACAGAAGGAAATGAGAACTGAGCATTATTCTGTGTCTGGGAGCAGACCACCATTGTTTTTCCACGCAGGGACGTTTGGGATTATTTGGTACATGTTCTGGTTGCTGCATGCCTATGAGTGTCCTGCCTCTCACCCAACTATCTCGGAGGAAGAGCGCACCTACATAGAGACGAGTATCGGCGAAGGCGCCAACCTGGTCAGCCTAGATGTAAGTATCATTCATAGTCAGCCTCTGGCTTCTTCTCCCTAAGAATTTCCTGTACTTGCTACCTAGCTCCCTTGAGAGTGAGAGAGCTCTCCTCACCAAAAGCCTCGTGATTTTTCTTTTCTAGAAATTTAATACACCCTGGAAGCGGTTTTTCACATCAATGCCCGTTTACGCCATCATCGTGGCCAACTTTTGTCGGAGTTGGACCTTCTATTTATTGTTGATCAGTCAGCCTGCTTACTTTGAAGAAGTCTTCGGCTTTGCAATAAGCAAGGTAAATGCAAGAACACAAGTTGGAGTCTTAGTAAATGCTTCTGGGAACCATTTGTAGCAGCCTTGGGGCTGAATCGCTTGAGAAATCACCCATTCTAGCAGCCAGCTTTCTCACCCTCTGCCTGGGTTGTCTAGAATGGAGAGGTCCACCCTCAGGACCTGTTCCCCTTTCGTGGTATGGTGGAAAAGTCCTGGATTTGGGTCAGGAAGATCTGGGTTCGGGTCTCAGACCTGCTGCTTCTCTGGCTATCCGAGCAGATCACTTAAACACTCTGTGCCTCAGTTTCCTAATCTGTAAAATGGGGATAATAATTCCCGTAGTACCATCCTCACCAGATTGTCACGAGGCTCTCATGAGATAGATTATATGTGCTTTGTCAACCCTAAAGCACAGTATAAACGCTACCTATAGTTTGGTTAAGGGGACAGAGATTTGGATTTTGAGTTAGAGGACAGGGTCTCTGATCCCAGCTCTGGCACTTACTATCTTCATGACCCCGGGGCAAATTCACTTAGCTTCTCTGGGCCTCAGTTTTCTCATCTGTAAAATGAAAGAGTTGGATTAGATGCCCTCTCAAGTCCCTTTCCAGCTTGACATCTCTGATCCTTTAATCCCACGGAGATGGTGGGATTGGGTTGAAACCTGAAGGAAGAGAAGGATTTCAACTGGGGCAGATGAGGAGCGAGTGTGCTCCTTGTCACGGGGGACAGACAATGCAAAGGTGTGGAGGTAGGAAGAAACATACCAAGTTTGGGGAATTTTTATTGATATCTTTTGTTTTTATGACTTACACTTCTCCATGTACTATTCTTTCCTTTCCCTCCCGGAGAGCAGACACTTATGGTGGATAATACAAAAAAGAAGAGAAATGATCTGAAAAGTTAGCCAACATATGAAAAAAGTCTGATGTTATATGCAGTTCTGCACACCCACAACCTCCCACCTCTGCAGAGAAGTGTGTGGACATAGCTTCTCCACCCTCCTCTTTGGGAGGTTTGGGTCATTACAATTTTGTAGCATTCATTTCTATTGTTTTGTTGTTCTTTCCATCGTAATCATTACGTAGATCGTTTTCTTGGCTCTGCTTACTTCACTCAAGTCATGTACATTTTCCCGTACTTCTCTATATTCATTACATTCATCATTTCTTATACCACAGCAAGATTCCATTAATGACAGCAGCTAATGATAATAGCTAATTTATATAGTGCTTACTGTGGATCAGTCACAGTGCTAAGCAATGATTATTCACAATTATTATTTCATTTAATCCTCGCGACAAACCTGGGAGGGAGATGCTATTATTATGCCCATTTTACAGATGAGAAAACTGAGGCAGGCAGAGATTAAGTGACTTGCCCAGGGTCACACAGCTAGTAAAGATGGAGCTAGATTTGAACTCAGATCTTCCTGACTCCTGGCCCAGCACTCCACTCACTGCATCACCTAACTATCATATTCATGGAACACGGTTCCTTTAACTTTTCACGAATCAATGGACTCCTGTTTTGTTTTCAGTTCTTTGCTGAAGAGTTGTTCTAAGTTTTTTTTTGTTGTTCTTTCTGCTTGTAGTCTGTGCGTAGGCGTGGAGTCTGATGTACACTTTCACAACTAAAGAAATACAGGATAATGAGCTGGCCGAATGAAGAAGAAAATAAAGTGGATATAAATCAGAGTCACTGATTCTCTTTTTATTCCAGGTGGGTCTCTTGTCTGCAGTCCCACATATGGTCATGACAATCATCGTACCCATTGGAGGACAGCTGGCTGATTATTTAAGAAGCAGGAAGATTTTAACAACAACGGCTGTGCGCAAAATCATGAATTGTGGAGGTATTGTGAATCTTTTAGCTGTTTTATGCAACTTATGCAGGATGAAAATTAATCTCTAATCATAAAACATATATTTAATATTTAATATATAATATTTAATGTATACTTATATAATATATAAAACATATATTTAAATTATACAATATATAGTGATAAATCCATTAGTGGTTAGTAACCCCAGGCTTGAAATGAAAGCTTGTCTCTTTCTCAGTAGTATTGTCCCAATGATGATAAATGGGTGTAAGCATACAGATCACTAATATCCCGAGATCTTTCTCATATGAACTGATGGCTACATGTTGTCACTCTATCTGGGGGCCCCAGGGAATAAAGCCATGGAGGAAGAGTCTACCTGGTCTAGATCTATTGATCGCAACAGGAACTTATGTTGTGATGTTCTTTAGAGGAATTTTAGTTGGCTCCACAGTTCTTCAAAAATTAGTAAATTGTAAGGCAGCTTGGTGGCACAGTGGTTAGAGCACCGGCCCTGAAGTCAGGAGGACCTGAGTTCAAATCCGGCCTCAGGCCAAACACTTGACACTTACTAGCTGTGTGACCCTGGGCAAGTCACTTAACCTCAATTGCCTAAAAAAAAAAAGTAAAAAAATAAAAAATAATTAGTAAATTATAAACCTTACTGATGACTGTTTCTGGCTCTCTAGAAACCCAGACCCTCCTCCATCTCTTTTCACAGGCAAACACCAGCTATTTTGTTGTAATTGTTGTTCAGTCATGTCTGACTCTTCATGACCCCATTTGGGGTTTTCTTGGCAAAGATACTGGAGTGGTTTGCCATTTCCTTCTCTGTCTCATTTTGCAGATGTGGAAACTGAGGCAAATAGGGTGAAGTGATTTGCCCAGGGTCATACAGCTAGTAAGTGTCTGAGGCCATCAAATGGCAGAAATTCTAAGCTTCCGTTTTATTCTTAGTTCTGATTTCACGTGACAAGCCTCTCCCATTGGAATCCCTTGATTTTTCTCAGCTCTCTGATTTTTACCCTAAAGCTAAACACCACCTAGTTTCAATGGAAATGTCGTAGCTCCCGATGTCCATCTATGACAAGACAAGTAGACATAAGTAGACAAGTTGCTAACCTGCTTTTTGAAACTCAGCTAAGTACTTGGTAGCAACTCATGTTGTTTGTTTGTTTTTGCTTGTTTAATAACATGTCAGCTCCCCTCTCTACCTTAATTTTCACACAACTGCTATAGCTGAGAATTAACTATTCAAGAAATTGCAGTGTTTGGTCTTAGAAAGATAGGGCTGTGAACAGATGTGTTTGATTGCATGTTGATGGAGGCAGCTGGAGGAGGATAGGGATTGAGAATTAAATCTTTTGGGCAAAATTCCTGTTGAAAGAGAAAAAGAAGGTTCCAAAAAGATTATCACCTCCAAGATGCATGTAGGTGGAATTTAAAGTTACTTTATTTTACTTTATTATTGTTTTTATTATTATTTATTTATTATTTTATTATTTTTTATTATTTTATTTATTATTATTCACATATTATATATTATTATTTATATATTATGTATTATTTTATTACTTCATTATTATTATTAATTATTACTATATATTTTAGTTTATTTAATGTTATTTTATTTTGGATATAGCATATGCATTCCTTGATGGAGCAACTAAGATACATATGTAAAGTGCTTTGCATGGTAGCTATTATTATGCACATGAGGATGCAAGGCAGAATTTTAGAATTACTGGCCTCAAAAGGACCCCAAAAGGACATTAATATCTTCTTTTCTTGTCAAGTAGAGGTGCACTCTGATAGTCAGAGGTAGCGACTCACCCCTCTTCAAAAAGTCTTGATAATTAAAAGTTCTTCCTTCTGTTAATCTAAATCTAAATCTAAATCCATGTAAATCCAATTGAATATTGAACCTGATTTTATTTTGTTCTGGCCTCAAAATTAGTGGAGAGGCAGCTTGATGTTGTGGAAAAAGGACTGGTTTTGAAGTCAGAAGTTGAGGGTTTGAATCTTGACTCTGCTATTTATTGACTTTGGATATGTGACTTCACTTCTCCTCAGTTTCCTTATCTGTAAAATGATGAGGATTGGACTAGATGGCCTTTAAGGATTTTGCGTCTATGATCCTATGATCCCAGGTTTCTTCCCATCTCTGCGCTTCAGTTTCCTCATCCGTAAAATGAAGGAATTGGATCCCTTCCAGATCTGAATTTTTTGAGGTGACATATCTTGTTGCACTTCACATCACAGCATTGCTTCACATCCCTGAAGACAATGATAGGATCACCCCTCTGTTGATAGCAGCTAAATAAGAGAGCTGGAAAGAATCATTCTGTATTTGTTTAACTCTCTGAAGTAGGGAGAATGTGACAAAGTGGATTAAAAGCTGGACTCAGACTTGTGATTTTTTTTTTGGAGGCAATCTGGATTAAGTGACTTTTCCTGCTGAAACGAGATTTGAACCTAGGTCCTCCTGACTCCAGGGCTGGGACTTGTGATTTTTAAAAAGAAGTGATAGTCTCTTAACTGTTATTCACAATTCCGGTTTCTCCATCCTCCAACCCATCCATTCTAATGGCGCTGAATTAGGTCTGATCCCAGCATTCCTCTGCTTAAAATTCTTCAGTGGTACCCTGTTGCTAAGCTTGGAGAATCTCCTCCCCAGGTGGGCTACAGATTGATGAATTTTGTGGCCACATCCTCTTTAATGCACCAAGATCTCCAGGGAATGGAATCCATGCCTGTAGAGAGAGTGTTCACACTTACAGGTATGAACACTTAGCATTTAGAAGCTGAATAGGCAGCTATGCATCCCTTGAGAGTGAGAGAAAGTTACAAAGACTAGCATGTTCATGGAATGAATACCTATGGAATCTTACAATGTATCAGAGTTTAAGAATCATGTGCAGGGTCTTTGTGGGCATATTAATGCTGGGTCATGATGACAGCCCACACTTAGATTACCTGGACTAGAATGAAATTTACCCCTCCCCCCTTTTTTCCACTTGCAGGTTTTGGCATGGAAGCAACCTTACTCTTGGTGGTGGGCTTTTCTCATACCAAAGGCGTGGCCATCTCCTTCCTGGTGCTGGCAGTAGGGTTCAGTGGCTTTGCAATTTCAGGTAAAATATTCATTCTACGTGGGGATGGATGGGAGGGCTTTGTTGGAGCGATGAGTAATGTCCTTTGTGACGTGGCTGGGGATAGGCTGAAGATCTAGGAGAGTGGAAACTCAGCAGAAGATTTTCTTATTCATTTCCAGTTATATTAGGAAATAATTCATTTTAAAAAAGAAAAGATCTTGTCATTCTTAGTGGACTTCAGACTTAATATGAGTCAACCTACAGCAGCCAAAAAAATGAAATATGACGTGAGGCCCCAGTCATATAACCATAGAATTTGAGAGTGGGCAGGGACCTCAAGAGACACCTTGGGATAGGAGATAGGACATTGGACTTGGAGAGAGAAAAACATGAGTTCAAATCTTGTTTTAGACACTAGCTATGTGAATGTGGGCAGGTCATTTAACCTCTCTAGGCCTCAGTTTCCTCATCCGTAAAATAAGGGGAGTGAGATAGAATTAATGGCTTCTGTATTGTCCTCTACAATGTTGTCACATCAGCAGTCTAAGAAAAAGCATCCCCCAAGAGACCCAGCAAAGGGTCTTCCAGAATCTGCCTGAAGACTTCCAAAGAAGGGGAATCCATCGCTTCTAGAGACAGCCCTCTTCACTGTTGGACAGCTCTCATTGTTACAATGTTTTTCTTAACATCAAGCCTAAACCGATCTCTTTGAGACTTCCGCCCAACACCCCTGCTTCTTCTCCCCTCCTGGGAGAACAGACCAAATTTGACCTTTCCCCACATGATAGACAGTTGTTACGGCCCCTTGAATCTTCTCCCCCAGCTAAACAATCCTGGTCCCATAGAATTAAGTCCAGTTCTGAGTCGCACATTTCAAAGAGACACTGACAACCTGGGAGGTGTCTGGAGCAGCTCAGTCAGCATGATAAGGGGACTTGAAAGAGATTACGGCATTGGACAGGGCTATTTCCCCAGTGCTTGGTCCATAGAAGGTATTTAATAAATACTCGTTGATTGGCTGATTGATTAATTCTTGAGTTCCCTTCCAGTTCTAATTGAAGGAATTAGAGGTGTTTAGAGAGAAGATGTTTTATAAAATAGATAATAATTTTGTTATGATCTTCATATATTTGAAAAGTGACCACAAGGAAGAAGATTCAGACTTGGTCTGTTTGGCCACCCAAGGCAAAACTAGAACCAGGATTTTTAAGTTTTCAGGAAGGCAGAGTTGGCTTAACATAAGGAAAAAACTCCTGATATTTGGAGTTGTCCCAAAATGAAATGGTCTGCTTTGAGGAGTAGTGAGTTCTCCAGCTTACTAAATGCTCATTGAAGGAAGAGGCAGTGAACTGGGTGATCTCTGAAGTGTCTTCCACCTTTTGGATGCTATGAAAAGCTGAATGACGTAGATGGCCTTTCACTCCATGATAACTTGCTAACGCAGTAGAGATTCATTTCCTGTGTTCAAAGATAGCAATTTGTTCATGTTCGCAGCATTGAGAAGCCTGAGTTACATAGAATTATAATCAGAGGGGAGAATAGCACAGCTGCAAAGCTGGGTGGGGCCTATGGCCACTGTTATAGTAGGACAGGTGAGGCTTTGCTCTTCTCTCTTCTCTCTTGGACAGAAGAAGGGATGGGGCAGGTTTAGGGGCAGATGAGCAGCAAGAAATTAGGACAAGAAGATGGATTAGGGCCTTCGAGTGACTGGACATACATAATTAAGAGGAGAAATGTGTATGTAATGGAAGGAAGGTGACATAGTAGATAGAATGCCAAACTTTGAGTCAGGAAGGCCTGGGTTCAAATCCTGTCTCAGACATTAACTAATTTTGTGACCCAGGGCAGCTAGATGGTGCAGTGGATAGATAGAGCACCAGACTTGTGGTTAGGAAGATCTGAATTCAGATCCTGCCTTAGACACTTACTAACTAGCTATGTGAACTAGGCAAGTCACTTAAACTTGCTCAGCCTCAGTTTCCTCATCTGTAAAACAGGGATAATACCATAATGGAATGTAACCTTTTGGGATGTCCACTTTGACCCCATCCTAGCTGGTAGGAGGGCAGGTCTGGGGCGTAGTCAACCAAATATTTAACAATACCTCTGGATTCCTAATGATTCAATTCCCTTCAAGCTTCAGAGGATATGCTGCTAAAATCTCAAAGACTTTCTTTGTGTTATCTCCAACCAAAAGCAAATGCACAGTCTTTGTGTCTGAGCATAATGCTTGACAATCATATTAATTGCTTTTTATCTCTGGGCTCTTGTCTAATAAAGTGTTTATCACATCCCAATCAGGCAGTAGGTATAATTAATCTCACTGCTGTTTTATATTCCGATTGTCTGGTACTTTGGCATGCTGACATAGAAGAGGAGGTATGCTTATTAAAAAATAGAGGAGCTGGTAGGGGTGGGGAGGAACTTCTTAAAATTCTCTAGAAACAGAGGTCAAGAAAGAGAACCAAACAGGGAGACAGAAAAATGATTTTTTTCACATATTTTCAGGCACTATGGATAAATGGAGAGTTGACAAAGGTTTAAAAAATGAAAGAAAAGATTTTCAAATATTTTTCAAAACCCTGATGCCCCTAAACCTTGGCATGGGTGAAAGCATAAATGTCAGATGATCAAATTTTTGGAAGACAGAAAGTTGAGAGCAGTAGCTAATGGAATGGCTGGCAGGAGCCAGATCCAAAAGAATATGACTAGCTTTGGATGAGGGGCTGCATTTAATGTGATGAAATATCATAGGGATGAATGTAAAGTCTGACATGTGTTCAAAAAATCAATGGCACAAATGCAGAGTGGTGCAGGTGTAGCTAGACTTCATGGGCAAAAGATATAGGACCTTGGGCAAATTACTAAAGGATCTGCAGACACTCAAGTGTCTGCTGAAAAAACAAATATGATTTCTGATTCTCCTGGTGGGGGAAAGGAAGGGAACGAACATCTGATTAAGCTACCTACTATGTGCCAGGTATTGTGCTAAACATTTTACAAATATTATTTCATTTGATCCTCACCATAACACTGAGGTCGTTGCTATTATTATCCCCATTTTAACAGTTGAGGAAATTGAAGCAGAAGAGAAAAACATTGACAAACTGGAATGTGTCCAGATGAGAATACTCTAGACAACAAGGGGGTTAGGGATCATGATGTACAAGCACTGCTTGAAAGAACTGCAAACATTTAACCTGGAAAGGAGAAGATTGAGACTTAGAGGAAAATGGTGGTTTTTGTCAGGTAGTTGAAAGATTGGGATGGATAAATGAATGAATGAAGGAATGAAAAAAATATTGATTAAGCCCTTACTATTTATCAGGCACCACGCTGCATGCCAGAGACTAAAAATACAAAAAGGGAGAGTGAAATAGTGATGCTAATTTGAATTTTATCCCCTGAGAAAGAGGTAGGAAGTGAAGATGGAAATTCCTGGCTATAGGGCCTATGGATGGTTGGGATTTGAAGCATGGTCATGCTGCTGATAAAATATTGTGGGTTTAGATAGATAGACCCCAGAGCTCCAAAGGTGAGTGAATTAGCTTCCCCACATATTTGACTGAGGAAAGGGCTCTGGAGGCTGAGTATGGAGGCAGCATAACCAAAGTAGAATGGGATGGTTACGGATGTACTGAACAGCTAGATGACTCCTTGTGGAGGACATTGTAGAGATGATGAATGTCATAGGGACAACGAATGCTTTGTGTGGGCCTTAGACTAGAAGGAGTTTGAGGTTTCTGCTCAGAATCCTAATTTCAAAGTAGAGAGAGTGATTATGACCTAAACAAGAGGCCACGCTGGAGCTTTGATTGTGATCTTTGGGTTCAGTTGGGCGTGAAAATGGGTATTAATAGAGAAAATAGCTTTCTGTTGCTTTTGCCCCTCTGGAAGACCTCTTGGGGCACTAGACGAGGACATTGGAGTCTTTATCAATTTCCCAACATTATTTTTATCCTTCAGATAATGGATTATCCCTTGTCCTCACCATGTCCCAGGTAGCTGTCCTTGTTGTTGATCTAACTCGTAATAAATTAGGGGAAAAGCATGGCAGAGTAGAGAGACTGCTGAAACTGGAGTTGGGAAGAGCTGGGTTCAGATCCTGCCTCTAATCGTTTTGGCTGTGTGACCATGGACAAATCATTTAATCTCTAAGCCTTAGTTGCTTCATTTGTAAAATGAGGATTATTACATGTCATCTGTGGTACCTCTGTCAGAGGGTTGTTGTGAGGCTAAATTAGATAATGTATGTAAAGTGCTATATCAATTATATATATGTGTGTGTGTGTGTGTGTGTGTGTGTGTACATATCATATTACTTGCAGGATCAGTACCAGGAAAAATGACAAAGGACGCCTTTAATGTCTCTTCTTGAAATACTTTTCCCTCCTTCCTCTCTCCCCTTTGCACCTCCTTACCCCCTTACGCTGTTTATAGAATTGCAACGGAAATGAGAAAATGTCCTAAAAATTCACAGATTTTTAATTGGATAGGGACCTCTAAGGTCATCAAATCCAACCCCCTCATTTTACAGGTGACATCTAGGGGGCTCTGTGGTGCACAGAATGCCTCTTTCTGAGTTCAAATCCAGACTCTTACTAGCTGTGTGACCCTGGACAAGTCATTTTACCCTGTTTGCCCCAATTTCCCCATTTGCGAAATGAGCCAGAGAAGGAAATGGCAAACCACTTCAGTGTCTCTGCCAAGAAAACCCCAAATGGGGTCACAGAGAGTCAGACATGTCAGAAACAAGTGAAGTACAACATTTTACAGAGGAGCAAACTGAGGCACAGAGAGGTGAATAATAGTAATACTAGCATTTATATGATCCTATAAGATTTGCAAAACTTTTAAGAAATATTAGCTCTATTGGTCCACATGGTAATCTTGGGACATAGGTACTATTATGATCACCATTTTACAGGTGAAAAAAACTGCATTAGACACGGGTGAACTGATTTGCCTAGGGTTACACAACTATTAAGTGTTTGAGCCCTAATTTGAATTCACATCTTTCTGACTCCAGGTCCATTGCTGTATCTATTTTGCCACCTGCCTGCCTCTAATGACTTGCCTAGAGCCACATAGCTAGTTGGGGGTCTGAGGTTGGATTTGAACTCATGTCTTCTTGATTCTGAGTCCAACGTTCTAGCCACTATACCACACTGACTCTCAATTCAAGGTATCCTGAAGTGGAATGGATTACCTGTGGAGGTAGCTGTTTCTCTCCTGCTTGGGATGTGTGATACAGACTAGAGTGACCTCTTGTTGGGTCTAGAGGTCCACGGGATTCTTGGTCAGGGAAAGGCTTGATTGCATGGCCTCAGACTTTCCTTCCAACTCAGATTCTACGATTCCTCGAGAGTTTGACCCCATATAGAAATATAACTTTAATGTGTCGGTTTTGTCCCAGGATTTAACGTCAACCACTTGGATATTGCCCCGCGCTATGCCAGCATTCTCATGGGGATCTCTAATGGCGTGGGGACCCTTTCTGGAATGGTTTGCCCCCTTATTGTTGGTGCAATGACTAAGCACAAGGTGAGTGCCCTTTGTGTGCCAGGCACTAGCAGCATACCCTCTTTTTACCGTTATCCTTGGGTTGGGAAGCAAGGGTGGAACATGAGAAAACCAACAGAGCGAGAGTCAGAAGACCTGGATTCTAGTCCCAGATCTGTCACTGAACTTCTGAAAGACCTTGACAAAGTCACCCCTCTCAGCTGGGCCTTGGTTCCTTATATGTCAACTAACGGAGGTAAACTTGTTGGCCCCTAGAGACCAGTATGATGTAATAGGGTACTGGACTTGGATTCAGGGATACCTGAGTCACTACCTGTGTAACCTTGGAAAGTCACATGACTTTTCTTTGCCTCAGTTTCCTCTTCTATAAAATGAGAGCGTCCAACTCAATGTCCACTAAACTAAGGCCCTTTTACCATTCTACATCTATGATGTGAACCTTGGTCCACCAAAGTCAGTGCTGTTTTCTCCATAGTCTGCTGTTTGTGGTATAGCATTCCCTCTGCCTTGCCTTTCCAGTTGACAAACTGAATGAAGGAAAAGCAGAAGCTCTAATAGGCTCTTTTTGGAAGAGGGGGCTTGAAATATCTAACGATGTTTAATATAATTGTTTAGACCCGGGAAGAGTGGCAGAATGTCTTCCTCATAGCAGCCCTGGTACACTACAGTGGTGTGATCTTCTATGGTGTCTTTGCTTCTGGGGAGAAACAGGAATGGGCCGACCCGGAGAACCTCTGTGAGGAAAAGTGTGGCATCATTGACCAAGACGAGCTGGTGGAGGAGATGGAACTGAACCACGAGGCTTTTGTTTGTCCAAGGAAGAAAATGTCCTATGGGGCAACTGCTCAGAATAGTGAAATCCAGCGAAATGAATGGAGAGGGCAGAGGGGACTGACACTAGATGAGGAAGAGCAGTCATCCTACCAGCATGAAGGGGAATGCTTCCCAGACACTTCCTAGTGTAAGAAAATACCCGGTTGTCTCAGCATCCCAGGCCTTCTCATACCGTGAAACCAGACAGTGTAGTATCCATAGCCATTGGATAGCTTCTTCCTAGCAGATCTTGCCAAGAGGTTGAGTGCTATAGGATGAAAAGAAAAGAGATGGCGCCAAATGTTTGGTGAAGAGGCAGCAAAGGTGTAGTGGCTACAGATCTGCTCTGACTCTCTGAGTCGCAGAGACGTGGGTTTGAATCCTGCCTCTAACACATACTGGCTCTGTGACCCTGGGCAAATCGTTCAACTGTTTCCCAGGAATTCTCTAAGACTTTGCACTAAGTGCAAAGTCAGTATCCATCCCCATTGGTAGGGGGGTTTCCTAATAGATGTTCCCTATGCCAATGAAATCATAGGCCTACTCCAGTATTTATTTAGGAGATAGGTTCGACCCTTCCTTCCTTCCTTCCTTAATTCTTTCCTTTGTTCTTTCCTGTTTTTTCTGTCTTTCCTTTCTCTTTTCATTCATTCTTTCTTTCCTTTCTTTTTTCTTTCCTTCCTTTTTCCTTTCTTTCTTCTTTTCTTTTATTCCTTTTTTGTTTCCTTTCTCTCTTTTTTCTTTTCTTTTTTCTTCTCTTCCTTTTTTCTTTTTTCTTTCTCCCTTTTTCCTTCCTTCCTTTCTTTTTTCTTTTCTTTCTTCATTTCTTTTTTCTTCCTTTTTTCTTTTCTTTCTTCATTTCTTTTTCTTTCCTTTCTTTTTTCTTTTCTTTCCTTCCTTTCTTTTTCCTTTCTTTCATTCCTTCCTTCCTTTATTCTTTCATTTTCCTTCATTCTTCTTTCTTTCTTTTCTTCTTTCTTTCCTTCCTTTTGTAGTCCAACCTATCCCCCAAATAAATATGGCATTATGTAAATATACATTTTTAGGTACAGGGTGTCCCAAAAGTTTTAGAGAAGTTTTAAGCTCTAATAGCTTCCAACTTTACTAAGACTTTTGGGACACTCTGCATGTCATTTATGCAGGAGATAGATTGATTTTCCACTTCTAATCGATTATCCCCCTTTATTTAGGGAATAGGTTGGTTTCCCCTCACTTGAAACATTTAACAAAATCTGGGTGACCTCTTCTTGGGTTTCTTGTAGAAGGGATTCTTGGTCCAGCAGAGGATGGACAAATTGGCTGCAGAGCTTTCTTCTAGCTCCGATATTAGGTGATTCCCTGTGTATTTGGGCTTCTGTATCAAAATGGGACTTTAGGGTGTTGGTTTTGTTCTGGGATTTAATTTATCCCCTATATTGGTTTTGGATTCGATTCCCCTAGCTTCAGTTGATGGCAAAGGGTTATCTGATATACTAGTAATCAACTCTTGGGTGGTAGGACTAACACTTTTGTAAGAAGGTTGGAGTTGAGGACAGAGTCAGGTGGTTTCCAGATTCAGATGCTTATGTAGAGAGGGAGATTTATCAGTCTAGGAAGCCTATTGCCCATGAAACTGAGCATCACCATGGCAGAAGAAGAAAAGCAAAGAACCAAGGCTCAGATATCCTGCCAACTTTGCCTCTTCATCGTCTCAAGGATGTGACAAAGGGAACAGGACTCCCATTAGACTGAGCTTCTTGACAACAGGCACTGTCTTTTGTTTTTCTTTGTTTCTGAATTGCTTAGCTTAGTGCCTGGCACATAGTAGGCACTTAATAAATGTTTATTGATTGTCTGGGCAAATGCCTACCCCTGGTTCTTTGGAAAAAAAGAAAAGTAAGAGGGTTTTGTCATGGTAAGTGAAATGTTTATATTCTGCCTTGGGTGAGATGCTCCTCAAAATCCTCTCACTTTTTATTTTATTTTATTTTATTTTCAGCCAAAGACAAGGTTTATTAGAACATCCATCATATTGGGCAGACTCTTAAGGAGTCTGAATATTAGTAAGCTATTGGCAAGATTAAAAAGAATCTGACCAGTGGCTAGATTTTAAGAATCTGAGCATTGGTTAGATTATAAGAATCCCAGCAGTGGCTAGATTATTAGAATCTAAGCAGTGGTTAGATTTTAGGAATCTGAGCCTACTTTATTTCTTTAATCTGTTCTGCTGGTAGTTTAACAGAAACTCTGGTGGAAAAAGCAAAATCCCATATGAAGCATCCAATACCTTTGTTCATAATGATGCTGATTTGAAGACTGTGGATTGATTTCTAAAATAAAACATATGGTCAGTCAATTCAATTCATTGAGCTATCATTAAAAGATTACTGTGTGCCAGACACTGGGGATAGAGAGTCACAGATGAAAACAGTCAGGGTGGGCCAGATATGACATGTATCCAGATAAGCAAATACAGAAAAATTCCAGTGCTAATAATCAGGGTAACCAGGAAAGGTCTCATAGAAGGAAGAAATAAAGCCACAATTTTTAAGGAAACTTAAAAGGTACAGTAACCATATTATGTTAATTAGTTTCACAATGACGTTTAAAGCATAAGGTGTTAGTCATCTTGGAAAACACTAATTGATGCTTTTTCTAGAAGATGTGCGTGATTGTGTCTATGATTTGACATACCCGTGATCTCACCATTTGTAAGTACTCTTTCCTGAAGTACAGATTGTGACCAACCATGCTTTCTCATCCTGTTCAACTCTTGTCCACGTCTGGTTAATTGCCCATCCAACACAATGGGGGCTTTCACCCAGGGAGACTTTATAAGGCAATAAAATGGATACTCTATCCAGTGTTTCTTGTAAGGCTTTAGTGTTGGCATAAAGAGGAGTATTATTTAAGAATAAAAGAACTTTTCTGTTTATTGTTCATTAAAATTCCATTTCCATTTTCCAAAGAAAATCCTAATCCTGAGGGGCCTAAGGTAAAGTTTACCTTTAGTTCAGAATTTAACTTGTACAGTGTTTCTGGTCCCTGAATTTCACCAAAGGAAACAGCATGTTTTGAAGATAGTATTTTTGACATAGTGACCTAATGATCCACTAATACACTGTATCATTAATATGTATATATGTATATTCAATGTCATCAATGACTTTAAGACTGTCAATCATCCTTGGATATTCTGAGGCTGAAAATGAAGCATGTTATATCATTTTAACCCTCTAGCATCTATAGGCAACATATTGTGGCAAATAAAAAATATATATCCTTGTTTTCCTGATTAAAAAATCAGTAATTTATGGTTTCAAATATTTTATGTTTTGTTAAGACAATAAAAGAGGAGATGAAAGTTTTCCTTTTCTAATCCTATGATATTCCACAGGTTCTGTTGAGAGTCATGATATAATGTCCTTTTATTGAATTGCTTAAAGGCAGTTTCACATATAGGAATCTCAAGTTTGAAGACAAAATGTCCTTCAAACAAAGTCATTTAGGGTTTCAGAACTTGTCCTGGAAACTTAATCAATGGTATTAAAAAACAAGAACTTTATTTTGTGTGATGTCTTTTGCCCAAGAGTGTATTGGAAAGATGATAATGTTTCCATCTGTCCCCACCCACTTGTAGGCCACATTTTTCACATGATGGCCAGCTGTTTGGTCACTCATAGCCATTTAAAAGTTTTAAAAATTATTTGTTTTTATGTCATTTTCATATGTGAGTATATCCTTGGCATCTCCTCTGGCCAGTCAACAAGCATTTATTAAGTGATTACTAACATGCCAGGCACGATACTAAGTGCTGGAAATGCAAATACAAGCAGAGAGAAAGACAGTCTCTGTCCTCAAGGAACTTCCATTCTAATGTGGGAAGACAAAGTATAAAAAGAAGGTGAAGTGGAGAACCTGGTGTGTGTAAAAGGAAGGGGACAATGGTAGAGAAAATCCAGGGAATCAGGAGAGCAGCCTGCAGAGGAATGAAGATATGGCTGGCCTGAGTATCCTCTTAAAATGGAGGTTCTGATAGCTGTGTGAACCTGGGTAAGTCACTTAACCCTATTGCCTAACCAAAAAAAAATGGAGGTTCTGGGAGGAACTGGCCAATCAAAGACAGAGGCTGAAGAGCAGAAGGCACTTCAGTGTGTGAAATTCAGGGGTGAAGTGACCTTTTGGTGTGAGGAAGTCTCTATGGCATATTGGCTAAAGAAAGTCCATACGGTCTAGAATGAAGTCCGGAGAACAATCGTTTGTGCCAAAAGAGAAACAAGAAAGCAGGGGAAAACGATTCAAAAGAACTAACAAATGCAATTTTTTAAGGGTTTCTTACCCATAGTCCCCCACATCTGCAAAGAGAGGAAGAAAGGGATATAGGTGTCCATTTAGAACAAACTTTCCTGGGCCAATCAGGAACATTCTAAGGAAAGGGGAAGTGACCAACGAACATTAATGACCTTTTGGAATTTTGCAACAAGGCAGGTTTTTTTGGGGGGGGGTAGTTAAAAATGCTTTTTTTTCTTTTAAACTTTAAATCTTGGACATGGCAATACAACTAATAATTAGGAAATGGGGAGGTGACAGGGGTGGGTGGGTGGGTGCAGAAGTCAGGGAGCAAACTCTAAGAAATTCATTTATTCTAAAATTCTGAAATAATGTGTTGCTTTCCCAAATGTAGAATACCATGGAGGAAAAACATCACATGGATATTGGGATAGACAAACACGTTACCATAAGAATGGTTAAAAAAAACCCAAACCTAGCACTTTTACTTTATAACATGCTTCTGTCATATATAGCCTCCATATCATCCCCATTTTAATCAAGCACTTAATGGCCTCTTATTATGAGTTTGACATCAAGCTAGGCATTCAAGAGGATTTGAGGAATATATAATACAGTCCTTGCCTTCAAGGAGAGCTAGGGAGATTCCCCTCCCCCAACACACATATACATAAAAGATGAGTGGATGCCATAAGAAAGTACATAATTAGGTGCTAGAATTCATAGGATCATAACTCTAGAGTTGGTTGGAATCTCAGAAAAAGTATACAGTTTGACCCCATCACTTCACAGGTGAGGAAGGAGGCTCAGGGAAATTCAATGATTTGACCAATTCCAAGTAAGCATTAGAGGCAGCATTTGAACCCAGCTCCTCTGACTTTAGAGCTAGTGCTCTACTACACCTTGTTGGCTTAACAAAGAAGGAGGTGAT